CCCCCCTATGACGTCTCCTCCCAGCACCGCGCCACCAACTCCATTGGTTCCGATTTCCCCTCCATTGCGCATTGGGTTGCTGCCCTTTCCAGTTGCCGATCTCTATGCTTCAATGCTTCAATGGGCGGTTGCCCTGCTCAGCCTCTAGGGTTAGATCTGAAACGCCACTCCGAATCTCGGGGTCTTCTTGGGGAGTCACACGCCCGCGCAATTAGTCACGTTTTTTTCTCCGTTTGGCCTTTTTGGCTGATTCGCCATCGGTCACCCTTTCCCATCTTCGGTCACGTTTTCACAAACACGACGGAAAGCGACATCTCAATCTGCCACGACGACAGCGACGACGGCCCCCCCGGCAGCAACCACCTGCAGACGTGATAGCAAGGAGATAACAGACATGGAGTACCTTGTCCAGTGGTGCCTGGTGTGCGAGAAGCGGATCGAGGTTGGTATCTGTGCTTCGCTTCGGAGGATTGCGGAGGAGAAGAGGAGGACAGCAGCAGTCGTCCTCCTCAGCGCTGCTCGACGGGGCCGTCGGCCGCCGTCGTGCGGGTCTGGCCGGTCGGCGGTCCTTCATCCCTCGCACAATCCTCCGCCCCCTTCACCGCCGCTGTCTCCCCCTTCAACATACTCACCCTTCCCTTCTCCCAGCATCAAGGCCTCTACTGCTCCCCGCAATGCCTCCGCCAGGACTTCATCGTCAAGAACCCCACCTCCCTCGCCTCCCTTTCCTCACCCACCTCCTACGCCGCCGGCCACGCGCACGGCAGCCCCGTACAAATGCCATTTGACTCGTGGAGGGACGCGCCGCCCGTGACAGCAACAGCAACTGCGGGTGCGATGCTCACCTCGCCATACCCGAGCCCGACTGGATCCACGGGAAGCACTACGAGCACGTCGAGCCATCCGGCCGCGAGCATGTCGTACGGGTCATCGCGACAGACGATGGGGATGGGTTCGATGGGGTCGCCGGACGGGACGACTGCCTTCCCGCCGTTATTGAGGAAGTCGCGGAATAGGGGCCAGGGATATGGCGGGAACTCGGGGGTGAACTTGATGGCGGCTTACTACTGAGTTTGGGAAGGAGGGTTTGGCGAAGCAGACGGGACGGACACTGGGGGATCGAATGAATTGGACGCATGGCCGAGGAGTGGGCTGGCCTCACTCCTTTCCGTTCATCGTTCCTTCTCATTATGCACGCTACCACATCTTGCCGATCAATTCTAGCTCTCCAGCATCCTCACGCCCACTTCTCGTGTCTCTTCTATTCTAATGTCCTTTATCTCCTCCTCTATTTCCATCTTTCCTCTATCTCTACTTTCCACTCTCGCGCTCGCCTTTCATCCTTTCGTATTACCATCCTCCCTCGTTATTCCTCTCCCTTCGTCTCACTTGCTCTTCACTCGCTCGATCTCTTGCTCACGCTTGTACATTGCACCAGAAAAGGCTCTTCACGGCGGGATCCTCCACCCTGCCGCGAATATGCAGCCAGAAAACTAATAACGGAAACTGATGGATACGGCTATGCTTCTTTTCTATTGAATATAATGCCTCTTCGCTGTGATATCGTGGGCCCGTCGAGCTTTGAGCAATCCCGTTGACGAAGATAAACATCCACCTCCCACCACTCCAGCTCTTACCTCGACAACGCAGAAGAAAGATCTTCATGAGGCGGGTATACCTACAGAACGTCTTGAGATTCAGGCAGGAATGGGCAACTATCGGCTTGAAAGACCTGGAAAATGGAACCGATTGGGAGCTCACGCAACGCCATCACCACCAAGGTCTGGGATCTACTCACGATCATCCTGGCCTTCCTTGGCGGCCTCGTCGCAATCTTCAAGCCCGCGCCGACCGTCCGGCTCGGTGCGCGGACCTTCAAGGTTCTCAAATCGCTCGGCGAGGGCGGTGAGCAATTTACCTGCGCTAGAGACTTGATCTGACCCTTCCACCGTTCGGTCAGGCTTCTCCTTCGTCTACCTCGTCAAGGAAGTGACACCCGGCCGCGCGTCGACCACCCCACACGCCCTCAAGCGCGTCCGCATTCAGCTGCCGGAGCAGGAGCAGCGCGCGCGGGACGAGATCGCGGCCCACAGCGCCGTCAACTCGCCGCATGTCCTCAAGCTCCTCGACAGCAACGTCGTGAAGAACCCGGGTGCGGATTGGGAGGCCCTACTGCTGTTGCCGTATTATGGGGGTGGGACGGTCCAGGATCTGATCGACAAGACGCCGAGGGAGGCGTGTGTGGATTTGAGGACCATACTGAGCATTGCTGTGGATGCCGCGAGGGGTTTGCAGGCGTTCCAGTGAGTTTTTCGTGCCCACTTTCTCCTGCCACCACCGTATTCATGGCGGGTGGTGCAGCTCAAAGAACCCGCCCCTGGCCTTCCGCGACCTCAAGCCCGCCAACATCCTCCTCGACGACTCTGGCCGCGCCGTGCTGATGGACCTGGGATCCGTGGCGCCGGCGAGGGTGAACATCAGCAACAGAAGGGAGGCCTTGGCGCTCCAGGAGCTCTGCGCGGAGACCGTCACGGCGCCATATCGCGCCCCGGAGCTGTTCGAACCGAGCACGGGCATGATGGTGGATGAGCGGAGCGACGTATGGAGTTTGGGTTGTTGCATCTATGCGATGGCGTATGGGGAGTCGCCTTGTAAGTGCCCTTCCGTTTTATTAAGCAGCAAGTGGGTGGCGAATAGCTAACATGCGTACCCCCACAGTCGATGGGTCGGCGACGGCGGCGGTCGGTGGGGCCGTGAGGTTCCCGCAAGGCAAGGATCCATACGGCCCGCCGCTGAGGAAGCTGATCACCACCATGCTGTCCACCAACGCGCAGGCGAGGCCGTCGGTGGTGGAGTGTATTCAGGCGATGGAGAACCTATTGGGTAGTTTGGGCGGGGTATGACGAAGCGGGTAGTCATGGTGTTAAAACTTAGCCGAACATAAGTCACTGAGTGATTGTGCACAACACTGCCTGAACGTCAAAGCAGTCGCGTAAGTGGCAGCCGGAGCTCCGGTGGACCAGTCGGCTGTAACTAATGAAGGTGCTAAAAGCACTTCCACGTTGATAAAACGGGACCTTTGGTTTAAATATTCACGCACACAAGCGTGTAACGAAGCGATATATTTAGTTCAGGCACGCAAGCGCAGTTGCTCGGTTTTTCCTGACTATTGCACGATTAAGTTCAGGCCCACGAGCAATATGCTCGGTTTTCCTGACTCTGACATAATAAATAAGGGGAAGGAATCGCGTCGAACAATAAACGACTTAAAATACAATGCGATTGTGTCAAACAACACACTAAAGAACAAAATTTTCGCACAAAAGAGTAGTATACGAAAGGAAAGAACTCAAAAGCAACCTGCAATAAAGCACAAAGTCGAATTACATAAAGGGCGACCCCCAAAGTCAGGCGCGGGTTCCTAATCAGTCGTCACACTCGCGGTGGACGAGATCGAGCTCGACGTGACCTCAACCGTGGCCGTCGGCGGGGGCGCGAGGTTCGTGTACTCAAACTCGAGGTTGTAGGTGTCGTCGATAAACATCGGGATGGGCGTTCCCACGATCCCGCCGCGCTTAGCCAAGTTCGTGGGGTAGGCCGTGATAGTCGCGGTTGGGGTATAGTCGGCGTAAGCGGCGCTGTCAACGAAAAGCAGCGGGTTAGACAGGGTACATATGGGGGCAGCGGTGGCAGGGATAGCTTACTAGGTCGGGAGGATGCCGACGACGGCTAGGGTGTTTTCACCTTCGATGAAGATCTCGGTGGGGTCGTCTCCGCTGTCGTAGCGGTACCTCTGTTAATATCGAAAAAAGGTAGCAAGCCCAAAAGTCTATTAGCACTAAGTGGTGAAAATAAATAGCAACTCACGTAGTGCAACCCAGCGTAAGCGCTGTCGAGGGTCATGGTGACGGTCGGCTTCGAGGGAATGTCGGTATAGTCCGCCGCGTAGACGTTGCCGTTGATCGTGCCGTAGAAGTTCCCGCCGCGACGCCTCAGCTGTCCGTTGGCCGTCTGGATCCTGGACTCGTCGGCCGTCGTGAACGAGAAGATGGTGTTGGGCGCGGCGGAGTAAGGGAAGGTGGTGGTGTAGGCCGATGCGGTGGCGGTGATCGATGCGGAAGTCGAAGAGCTGATAGCAGAGCTGGAGCTGGACGCCGATGAAGTTGTTGTTGTGGAGCTAGTCGAGGAGGATGACGAGGACGAGCCGCCCGGGATCGGGAGCGGGCCGCCTGCGCTGACGGCCGCGATGGAGAGGGCAGCAAAAGAGAGGAGCGTAGCGAAGATCATGACACGGGCAGTGGAAGGTTGAGCTGTGCAGGTCATGCATGTGAGGTCTATTATAAAAGGCCGTCCAAATGAAGGGTCCCCGAGCTGAGAGACCCTAGCCCGGCGCTACATCTGGCCAGGGGGAATGTGCGTCCATACGGCCCTGGCCTCACGCCAAGCTCACCAACTTATTTTGACAAGTCAGCACATTTTCCAGTCGATCCAGGGGAGTTCATGTTTACTTCTTCTTGAAGCGAATGCAGGCAGATGAAGTCCAACATGCACCTGCACCGTACCTTTACATGTGCATCAAACCTGAAGACTATCATACTGGAACACAAAGCTGATGACGACGTGATTGCCGGCCGTATGTTAACTTTTGTGACCTTGGAGGATCATGTAGCCCAAAAAAAGCACTATATATCTTTGACTAATACCTTCAGTGTGTTCTTATAAGTACAAAATCGCAATGTTTGACATCCCTCATAGTTCAGTTGGTTAGAACGTCTGCCTAGTAAGCAGGAGGTCACCTGTTCGAATCAGGTTGAGGGCACAATATTTCCGGACAGTGTAAAATTTTTATACCAATTTTCTGACTCCTTCTTTTTACTTCTGGCAAACTGACACCATCTTAGGGTTACCAATCACAGATCTACAAGTTTTGCCCAAAAAGGGCCTAAATGCGCCCATTGGGCGCCTCTTGCGTTCTTTTTGCTTTTCGCATGATTTCGCCATCTCTTTGCGATCACGTTTTCCACAGCGTGTGCTCAAATACGTCTGCTTGAGGCCATCCAGCAGCAACGTGATCCCGTCCTCCCCCGACGCGAGCCCAACCAACGCCATCACCCACGCCAAGAACGTGCTTGATAACGTGCCCGACCGCATCCGCCTCCACGCTGCCAGCCATCTAAAAGCTTTGGTCGCCGCGTTCCTACATCGTTTTCTACCCTACCTTCCACCTTCATCGATCACCTTTAAACAACGTCGACATGGACTACTTCGTTCAGTGGTGCCTGGTTTGCGAGAGGAAGATCGAGGTTCGTGTTTTGGCCATTCATGGACTCGATGGGCGCCGGTGTGGAGGACCTGGTGGTGGTAACGATACTCGGACGAGGTCGCGGCGATGGGATGGGAGCGTTAAGGGCGGCGCGTTGGGGATCCGGTAGAATGCGATCGGCGCGTTCCGATGCGATGTCGGTTCGATTGAAGGCCGCCCCATAGGTGACTCGGGACGCAATTGACGGACGGCGTCGTCGCGTAATGACGACGTGTGGTCCTGTTGTTGGCTGGCGTGCACCTGTTGCCCGAGGTCGTGCCACAGTTCATCTAACCCCTTCCTCTTCACAGCATCAAGGTCTCTACTGCTCCCCTCAGTGCCTACGCGCCGACTTCATCATGAAGGAACCAGAGGAGGCGACCACTTGCTCCTCCACCTCCTCACTAGCCTGCCACAACCAGCACAGCAGCAGCAACGCGTTCCACATCCACAGCAACGCGCTGCCGTACTCCCCGCATACGAGCCCGACGTTGAGCCCGACGATCAACCCCTACGATCCCTTCGGGCTCCGGGATCCGCTGCCATCGTCATCCAGGTCGACGACGACGTTCGTCTCGGCGTCCCCGACGGACTCGACAAGCTCCAAATCTTCCACATCCTCGAGCACGCATCCGGCCGCGAGCATCTCGTACGGGAGCCGAAGCAGTCAGGGGATCACGGGATTCGGAGGAGTGGGGATGGGGATGGATCAAGGACAAGGACTGACGACGTTGCCGCCGCTGGTGAAGCGGTCGAGGCCGCGTTACGGCGGGAGCAGTGTGAATCTGATGGCGGCGTACTTCTAGGCTGAGAAGGTGGCGAGACTGGCGGGGGGGAGGTGAAGTTGAGACGAGATGGGAGGGGTTAGACGTGCTTCGTTTGCCCTGACAAGGCTCGCATTCTGTATATCATTCATATCGCAAAAGGCTCTTCGCGGGACAGGAACCGTGAACTTGCAGCCATAATAATACATGTTTATTTTTCAAGCTCTCGTGATTTGCAAAGGAGGTGAACATAACATAGTGCGGGCGGGCTTTGTGATTACCCCTCGCGCAATCCGAGGCGCAAGTTCTACCCGCGGCCAAGGATTATAAACTTTCCGTCCCTCACCAGTTACTTCGCCTTCGCGTCACCTTTCCCCTCGAACCTCGTAACACTCTGCACGCTGGCCAACGCCCCGACGCCAAGGACCGTGATGAGCCCGACGAGGACGACGACAACAAATCCTTCGAACAGCCCGGGGCTGATGACGACTCCTCCCCTGGTGATGGTGGCGTTCTTGGTGGAGTGAGAGGCTGACCGGCGGTCAAGCTTTTATAGAAGAGGGTTAGTATGATTACTGCATTAGTCACGCTATCCCTATTTCCATCTGTCGCCCCGTATATAGTATCGCCTCACTCCGTCCAATGAGCTTATCTTACCCTCCCCATCCGTCCCAGCCACCCCCCTTCCCCCCCTGATCCAAATCACTGACCGTTAACGCACCTTCTCCACACCGTTGCTCCCCACGATAATAAGCGTCGGATCCCCGGCCTTGATGATCCACCCCTTCAACGTGCCATCATTCGCCCTCATCGCTTTCTTGACGTCAGCCGTCCCTGTCGTCAACGGGGCCAGCATCCCCGCATACAGTCCCTTCTCGGCCGTGATGAGTAGCATAGGGGGCGTGTTGAGACCGTCCATGCCGCGGGCCTTAAGGCCGCACCGGGTCTCGATGGACTCCTTCACGATGGTCGACGAAGGGACGGAGACGGACGGGAGGGTGAGGGCGTGCTCAGTGTTGGCGATGAATTTCTGTGTTGTTGAGAGGTGTTGAATCGTCAGAAAGGATATAGGACGCATCCACGATAGTTCTTCGTTTCACACCCCTCCACCCTTCTACCCCTCATCCTTCCCATGGGAAACGAACCTCCTCCCGTCTCCCCTTCACACGCCCTCTACCCCGCACCCTTCACCTGAAAAAACCCTCTTTCCCCTCCTCCTCATTAAAAAATCAAATATCAACAAACCTTCAAATACGGCATGCTGTTGCCATACTCCTCCAGATGTGTCGCCTGCAACTGGAACGAAGCAACATAACGCATTTAGCACTCGTGTCTCCGCTCAGGCAAGCAATCAGTTCTCACCCCTGGCGCATCAACGACCAGGATCACGCCGTCGCACGGGATCTGATCCAGCACCTGCGAGAAGTCGTCCAGCGTCATGGCGGAGGCCGTGGCCGTGCGATCGGCCGCCAACTCGACGCCGCTGTTGTAAAAGATGGTGCGTTAGATCCCCCTTCTGAGCGGAAGGAATGGTGAGGCAGAGGGGAAGGAGGGGCGGAGGACCTACTTGGAGCCCTGGAGGATAAGGACGGGGAACGCTTCTGAGGATGTAGATGCGGATGCGGATGCGGACGCGAAGGCGCAGAGCGCGAGCGCGACGAGGGTGAGGAGGGCGGGGACGGCCATCGCGGATGTCGTGGAGGTTGTCGATCTCATTTTCGATTACCGCCTTGAGAGATCCCTAATATTTCATAGAGGCTCGTAAACCTCAGTGATTAAATGCATGTCTTTCTTCATTGGATTACTGCTAGGAATTTGATATATTAAGTATCATGCAATGTTGCTATCTGCATCCTCCTCTGTCCCGCATGCCCCCATTACATCCCATCATCATAAAGTCGTCGTCCTAGCCCCGTTCACATCCCCACCCACTCTCGCAGCGCCTTCACCCCTCCTCCCCCACTCCTCGAAATCCTCGATCTCCTTCCGTTGTTTGGCGAGCGTCTTGGCCTCGCTCATCCTCAGGACGTTATCTGTCGAATCGACGCGATTAGTGTTGGCTTCTTTCCCAACTTCTCCATGTCCAAAGCAGGTTCGCTCCTGCTCGCTCCATACGTACAATACCCGCTCGTGATCAGCAACGCCTCCATGGCCATCCCCACCCCAAACCCCAGCAAGCCGAGCTTGGCATAGAACCGCAACGGAGCGGGTGCGGGCGACGTGAAGGGGAGGAGGGGGTCGGTCATTGACTGATGATGGATGGGCGGCTTGGAATGGAGGTTGACGAATCGAGTGGTGACCCAGCACAACGGGGCTGGACCCATCGGGTCGCCCAACGCGGCCGGAAAGGAGGACGGTTTCGAGGCCGAGTTGGAGCATAGCGCGACGGCAGCCGTGGTAGCCATGGCACGGAGGATCTAATCAAAGATTTTTTCCTACAGAAGCAGAGGCGCGTTGCTTTACTAGAGTGAACGAAGTCACACGAAGGAAACAAGAAAGTAATTGTATATTCAAGTAATAAATAAAGCGTCATAAAAGGCGTCTTACGGTAAAGAACGTAAACCTGTGACCCAGAAACAAGGGGATGCAACGCCGTTTAGGTCATTATCGCGCATTACCACCAAAAACTTGATTTGCGAAATGCAGAATGACGTCCTCATTCCCATGATGCTGGCGGTCGCTCCTGACGATCGTCGAATGCGCATTGCTCAACGTGCTGTACACATGGACCCTAACAACCAATATCACTGTCAGCGAAAACCTCCTCTCTGGTACACCACACAAGCGAACCTCACCTCCTCCACTCCAGCAGCGTCAACCCCCAAAGTGCAAAGCTCTCCACCCTCTGACCACAACGCTCGTCCCACCGCTTCATCCGCGTCAGGGTCCCCTCAACCACCCGCACTGTCCTCATCCACCGCCCGATCCGCATGCACGTCGCCATGCTCGGCAGTCCATTCACATCATCATCACCCCCCGCGTCGGCGAAATCCCGACACGTGAGCCGCATCAGGACGCACGACGCCGCCCGCCGGATCTGGTAGATGATCCTGTACGCGATCAGGTACGCGATCTCGCGGGAGCGGGAGACGATCATGCGGAGGACGGGCCAGAGCGATTGGGAGGAGGGTGCGTTCGGTTCTTCTGATGTGATGGTGATGGGGTATCCGGCGGGAGGCGACGGGTTGGTGGGGACGATGACGATGGAGGGGTATTGGGGATCGGCGACGGTGTAGCGGGATGATGGGGGCAGGGAGTCGTCGAACTGTCT